TTGCATGCCATCATTAAAAAGTCTATATTTAGTTTTAGGTTCCCAGCAAAATTCAACAGAAAGTGCAGAGAGTTCCATATGTCCCTGCCCCCATATACTTGGCCTCTTGCACTAGCAACATCTCACACCAGAGTGGTACATTTGTTACAACTGATGAACCTACACGTCATCCATAGTTTACATAGGGTCCACTCTTGGTGGTGTATATGCTATGAATTTTGTCTATATATATTGGCATGTACCTGACATTATAGTATCACTCTGAATAGATTTACCACCCTGAAATCTTCTGTGCTTCATCTATTTATTCCTCCATCTTCCCTTATCTTTTTTTAAATTATTTTTTATTGATTTCAGAGAGGAAGGAAGAGAGAGAGATATAGATACATTCATGATGAGAGAGAATCACTGATTGGCTGCCTCCGGAACAAACCCCACTAGGGATCGAGCACACAACCAGAGCATGTGACCTGACCAGGAATCAAATCAAGATCTCCTGGTTCATAGGTCGATGCTCAACCACTGAGCCATGCTGGCCGGGCAACCACTGACCTTTTAAATGTCATATAGTTGAATGTCATATATTTCAAATCCTGCAATATACAGTCTTTTCAAATTGATTCTTTCACTCAGTAATTTGCATTTAAGTTTCCTCACGTCTTTTCATGGTTTGATAGTTCACATCTTTTTGGCAGTGAATAATCTTCCATTCTATGGATATGACACAGTTTATTGAACTACGCACCTAGGGAAGGACATCATGGTTGCTTCCAACTTTTGGCAATTAGGAACAAAGCTGCCAGAAACGTCTGTGTATAGGTTGTTGTGCAGACATAAGTGTTAAACTCTTTTGGGTAAATACCAAGGAGGACAACTACTGGATTATATGGTAAGGCTATGTTTAGTTTTGTAAGAAACAGCCAAACTGTGTTCTAAAGTTGCCGTACCAATTTGCATTTCCAAAGTCTGTTGTTTCACATCCTCACCAGCATTTGGTATTGTCAGTGTTTTGGATTTGGGCCATTCTAACAGTCACGTATCTCGTTTTAAATTGCAATTCCCTAAACACACATGATGTTGAGCATCTATGCTTATTTGTCATCTGTATATCTTCTTTGGTGAAGTGTCTTTTAAAGTTTTTTGCCATTTTTAAATCAGTTTGTTTGTTTTCTTATTGTTGAGTTTCATAGTTCTTTGTATACTTTGGATAATAGTCCTTTTATCAAATATGTCTTTTTCAAATATTTTCTCCCAGTCTATGGCTTCTCATTCTCTTGACAGTGTCTTTCACAGAACACAAGTTCTTAATTTCAATGAAACCTAGCATCAACTATTTCTTTCACGGATCATGTCTTTGGTGTTGTATCTAAAAGATCAACAACAAACCCAAGCTCATCTAGGTTTTTCCCTATGTTATCTTACAGGAGTTTGATAATTTTACATTTTACATTTAGACCTAAGATCTATTTTGAGTTAATTTTTGTGAAGGGTCTGTGTCCAGATCCATTTTTTAGCATGTACTACTGTTCAGAACCATTTGTTGCAAAGACTGTTTTTCTCCATTTTCAAAGGTCAGTTTTCCTTCATCAAAGATCAGTTCACTATATTTGTGTAGGTGTATTTCTAGACTCTTCGGTTTGTTCTAATGATCTACTTGTCTATTTTTCACCAAGAGCCTAGTGTCTTGATTATCATAGCTTCACAGTTAAGTCCCAAAGTCAGGTAATGTCAGTCCTCCAACTTAGTCTTTCTCTAATATTGTACTGCCTACCCTGCGTCTTTTGCCTCTCTACATAAACTTTAGAATCAGTTTGTTAATATCCACAAGATACTTGCTGAATTGTTTTGGTGGTTTTGGGGTTTGTTTTTTTTAAATATATTCTATTGATTTTTTACAGAGAGGAAGGGAAAGGGATAGAGAGCTAGAAATATCGATGAGAGAGAAACATCGATCAGCTGCTTCCTTCACACCCCCTACTGGGGAAGTGCCCACAACCAAGGTACATGCCCTTGACTGGAATCGAACCCAGGACCCTTCAGTCCATAGGCTGACGCTCTATCCACTGAGCCAAACCGGTCAGGGCCTTGCTGAGTTTTTAATTGGGATTAAACTGGATATATAAATTAAATTGAGAAGAACAGACATCTTGACATTACTGAGTCTCCGTAGCCGTGAACATGAAATATCACTCCATTTATTTCGTTCTTTGATTTAATTCATCAGAGTTTTATAGTTCTCTTCAAATTAATATTGTGCATTTTTAAAATATCTTCTGTATTTATTATGATAATCAGTACTATGACTAATGCTGTCAGGTACAAATAGTAATACCACTTTTTTGAGCCTTTACTATGTGTCAGGCATTACAGTAAACATTTTGCACATGAAGTTTCAAGTTCCCAGATTTTAGTTTTTTTAAATCTAGTTTACCTTTTTATATTAATGCTATTCTGAATTTTTCCCTTTTCCCTATATGTACTTGAATTGAATATTTCTAAATTAATGATGGAATACAAAAAGATTTTGTTATTTACTTACACTAAGAAGGTAACATTTAATTTACTCAGATTTAAAGTTCATATTTTAATCTACTTTTGGAAGTTGCCATCTCTTTTCCTTCACTCAGTGGTTTAAAAAGAATTCTACTCATATTGAGCAAGAGAACAGAAATGAAAACATATGCCTTTTTCAGGCCTGAAAATTACCTCAGTCATGGGAGTAGTAAAAGAAAATAACTGTGACAAATAAAGCCAGAGCAGACAGCACCTTAAAGTAGAACACTAAGAATGCTGGGGGTCAGTGAGGGTGGGGGATGCAGACACTGTAATAAGAGATGCCCTCAAAAGATTTAGATTATCTAAGTACAAATCTGACACTGAAAACTCTCGCATGCTAAAGTAAAGAAGAGGGTCATATACTCAAGAAATTTGAGTACATGTAATTTTAAATGATAATAGCTATCATCTGTGGAATGCTTACTATGTGCTTGGTACTTGTCTAAGCATTTTGCGTATATTAATTTATTAAATCCTCACAGCACGAGATAGGTTCTACTGCTAACACCATTTTAAGTTGAGGACATTGATGCACATAGAAGTTAAGTCAGTTCCCAATGTCATACTAAATAAAACATTTAAAATTTTACATGTTAAAAAGCTTAGTTTTTGAGATATTCTAAACTGCATTCACAGTTTAATTTTAATTAATGAAATTTCACAAAACCCTTGTGAAAGGTTGCCAAAATCAATCACAGAGAATCTGTAATGTGAGGTAATTCGATTTTAATTTGGGAGACTTTGCCTATTGTGATGTGGCTCAAAGTAACCTGAGAAGGGTGTAAGTCAGAGAATTTGGAATATTTTAGATAAAAGAACCATTGGAGTCTAAAGCAGTATTCCAGATAGAACTGCAGAACCTACAGTTTTGTAGCACAAAACTGATATTGGGCTTCTAATTTGTTCCTTATTCTGCAGTTCCTTTGAATCTGTCATAATTACAGATTCAAATCCTTCCATCATCACACATAGTATAGATCTATTTATCTCTTAACAATATTATAGCTGTTGGATGACTCCTAGTTAGCGTGGCAACTTCAAATCATTACTTATTTCAAATTTATAATTCACGGCTAGGTGTTGGGTTACCTAATTTCTACTGTTAACTTGGCTGCTGACTTTCTTTGAGACTGAGCAAGTCACTTATCTTGTGCTTCAGTGTCCTCCTTTAAAATGGAGACACTGACCCTAGCTGGTTTTGCTCAGTGGATAGAGCATCCGCCTGCAGACTGAAGGGTTCCGGGTTCGATTCTAGTAAGGGCCACATGCCCGGGTGCAGGCTCGATCCCCAGTAGGGGGCATGCAGGAAACAGCCAATCCTCCTGCAAGCCCTCTACTCTCTCATCATTGATGTTTCGATCTCTCTCCCTCTCCCTTCCTCTCTGAAATCAATAAAAATATATTTTAAAATAATAATTAAAATATAATAAAATGGAAATACTGAACATAACAGAAGTGAGATCATATGTGAATAAAGCATTTAAAGCGATAAAGAATTTTTAAAACGCAAAAGACTAATATAAATATTTAGAGTTTTCTGGTACTGTGTTATTGATGAACTCGATCCAAAGTTCATACAGCTTCTTGCATATCAAACAATAGTGGAACAGTTTGTTCACGTAAGTCAGTTTGATCAAATTAGTTATTGGTAAAGGAAAGTGAGTATATTTTAACTCTTGATTCCAAATAAAGACAATGCAATAAATGTATAATGCAAATGTGTTTATGCATGAAATGTTTCACATAACTACAGACAACAAACTACTTTCTTAAATTCAACTAGTATTAGGCTTTTTATTTGAAATAAGAAATTGGTATTTCTCTCTTTCCACCCTGAAAAATAATCTAAAAGCAACATAAAGAATGAGAAACACAAACCCCGTTTTTGGAAATAGGAGACAAATTACAAAATGAGTAGAGATAGAGTAGGAGTGCATGCTGTAGGCAGCAGGGAAAGGATGCTGCCATTGCAGCTGTCAAAGAACAAAGTACACTTCTTGAAGGTGACAGGCACACCCTAAGTCAAGATATAAACCCTTTGTTTATATCAGTGGAAAAAAGTGCATTGACTGACCATCAGAGCTCTGATAGATGTAGTATGGTTCCAAGAAAGAGAAGATGGGGACATTGCTAAATAAGGAATCACATAGACAAACTATATTTGCAGACAGAGAAGCCTTCCTCTGTGGCTATGGGAGAAAAGAGACTGACTGTCGCCACTGACTGGGGCAAAATAAACGATGCAAAGAAAAGAAAAATTTAACAGCCAAAAAGAGAACATTCACAAGAAAAATATTGCTATAGAGCAGATGAAAATCATGACAAATTAATTAATAAAACTAATTATGCAATCAACTCTAACTTGAGATTTACAAAAAATATATAATCATAAAATTTTGTTTACTAGAAAGCTAACAACTAAACTAGTATAATTAATCACTTACCTCTGATTCATATTTTATTTTTTCTTCTTCTAAAGTACGTGCAAATTCTCCTTTCTGGTGTTCGAACTCTGACTTGAGAAATGTATTTTCATAGCGAAGCTTATTATATTCAGCTCTATACTTTTCAACTTCCTAAATTAAAAGAAGACTATAGTTTAATCACAAATTTATGAATGAAATTTATATCCATTCCAAAAATTACTTTTGTAAATATAATTTTAAATTACATTATATTCAGAGTAATTCTAAAAGTAAAAACTAAGCTTAAGAGAAGTATAAATAAACCTTGGAAAAGTTCTGATAACTAGGATGCTACACACAGAATTAGTACATTCCTGAGAAGGCACTAATAAAGACAATTATCATTCAATTAACCTTATTTCCTCACTGAGTCTCATAATAAAAATGTATAGCATGTCAAAAGTTTTGACCTCTGGACTTAATAAAATAATATTTAAGAATGTGACATACCTTTTAATATATAGTTAGGTTAAAAATTAATTTTATAAAACATAAAATACCTCCTAAAAGTCAGACATAATGAATTCAAAGTAGATAAAAGATTATTTGGCTATTTAGTACAATAACTTAAGGTTCAATCAAATATTACAATGATATAAATTCAACACATCTGCCCGAAGAATATATGAAGCACCAACTCTCCTTACTAACAAGGAACACATGCAATTCCCTGGTATAGTCCAGCTCCTCTTCCTGATACTATGAAAGTTGCTGGCATTCTGAACCTCAGTAAGAACTTAAGACAACAGAACAGAAAGATGGACGAGACATTATTTAAACATATACTAGAAAAATCTATATATCTATATATATAAAAGCCTAAGCGACTGAACCGGTCAACCGGTTGCTATGACACACAGTGACCACCAGGGGGCAGACGCTCAATGCAGGAGCTTTCCCCTGGTGGTCAGTGCGCTCCCACAGTGGGAGCACCGCTCAGCTAACAGGCGCCAGATGCCAGGCTGATGGCTGGCGAGTGCAGCTGCAGCGGTGCAAGCCTCTCCCATGGACACTCCTCTTGCGCACCTGATCGGACTGACTGGGCACAAGCCTGCAGCCAGCATAGCAAGGCTGAGATAAGCAGGATCGGCAGGCAAGAGCGGCAGGCAATGTTGGACTGCCAGTTTCAGCCCAATCGCCGCAGGCCATGCTGAGGGACCCCACCGGTGCACAAATCCGTGCACTGTGCCTCTAGTTAAGTAATAAGGAAGCCTCCTAAAATACTCAGCCCCCTGAAATCTTCAGTTTAAAAATGTCCATGCCAATTTACAAACCAAGGATATGGTTTTTTGTGATTTTATTAGAGACATACTTTGTTTTGGTACTTTTAAATATGCTTTTACTTAACTGGATCACCTACTTAAGTCTAAGTAATTTTGTTTATATCCAAAATTGAAACCTATTCACCATAATGCTTTGATTAGGAGAATATTCAAAAAATGACGTTATCAAGCCAGTTAACCATTATAACAGCGGTCGCCAACCGGTGGTCCATGAGGTCCAAAAGTTTGGCAACCACTGATTGCCAGGATCTACAACTGTTTCAAGCAATGGCAACATCACTAGACTATAGCTCCCTAAAGGGGTCCATTTTGAAGGGGACAATACTCATTTGTATGTATACTGCTCAGTGTATTTGTTAAATAAATGTCTACTTTAGTATCTAATATACTTAATATCGATCATCTTTTCCTGTCCCCGTTATTAAACATTTAGTCATATTACACCAAGGTTTCATTTACAAAGACTGGTTTCAATCAGAAGGAAAACTGTATCAAATTTTTTTACTTTTCTAAGGTTGCATGAAATTCATTCTTTCATTCAACAAATATTGAGTACCTATTATATGCTAGGAACTGTTCTAGGAACTTGAAATGTAATAGTGAGTAAAACACTATTGCACTCCGCTCATGCAAGAAGTGGTAAAAGGTAATATAAAAAAATAAGCACAATGAGTATTATACAGCATATCAGAAGATAGTAAGTACTCGAGGAAAAAAAAAATGTAGAGCATGGTAAATGGGGATCCAAAGGTCTAAGGAGTGATGGAAAAGGCAAGTTGCAATATTAAATGGGGGCAGGAGTTGGTCAAAGTAGGCCTCATTGAGAAGGTGATGTCAAGAAGTTGACCAAAAGATACCTGGAGAGTGTTCAAGGCAAAAACAACTGCTAAAGCAAAGACTCTTGAATGGCACCATTTCTAGAATGCCAAAGAAACATCAAGGAGGCCGGTGTGGATGGAGAGAAGGAAATCAGAGAAGTAATGGGGTCTGATCCTGTGCAGCCTTAAAGGCTATTGTAAGGACTGAGCAAGAAAGGGAGCTATTGCAGGGCTTCTGTGTAGAGAAGATGTTTTTCAAAAGCTTTTCATAGTGACATGAAGATATATGCATAGTTCTTTCTGCATAAATTACTTACTTCATCCAGACTCCTAAAACGCTCTCTCATTGGAGTTTCTAATTCTTGTCGTATTTGGGCTCTGAACAATTCCAAGTTTTGTGGAGTTAATACCTAATATGCAGAGAAATACAAACAATTCTAAATATGAAAAAACAAATATTAAAATCAAGGATTTGCCAAATTTCAAAACCTCTCTCATTACAATAAAATGCAATTCAAAGTAATTTTACAATATAACCAATTTTAGAGAAGTCACTATATAAATAATAATTTAAGAATCTCAATTTCAGACTCTCAGAGATATCAAAAATTCTATTAGCATGAGGTAAAGACAATCACTGATTATTATCATTGTGATTATTAGAAATAACTATGTTAGCAGCTAAGGTTATCCTGTTGTATACAATGGCTGATAGTTTATTTTCTAAAGCAAACAAAATAAAGATGTAATAATTTAGTATGCCATAGAGAATTCTTCAGACTTATTTTCAATCAGAAAAGGCTGATTTTTATGTTGGTTATAAAAACTAATTTAGGCTCCTCCCTGTTACACTCCTTTACAAAATTTATCTTTCAAAAAGTAACTGAATATTTCATTTACCATGGTATTCCCAACACCCTGCACCACTGCCTACCACATAGAAACCACTCAATTATTATTTCTTGAATGAATAAATATTGGTTGTTAAAAAAAACCACCCAGTTTGCTTTTATATTAATTTCCAAAAAAACTAAGAATAGGGAATAAGGACACATATGTAATACGTTAATCAATAAAGAGAAAATTTAAAAGAAAACACTAAGAATAATGTTCAGCTTAATTCATTCATTTATTCATCAATATCCAAATTTCCAAACATTTTACTGAATAAATGCCTACTATACAGAGTGAAGCAAAAATAGGTTTCTAGTTGTATGGAAAACAATACAAAAAATAAATAATAATACAATAATAAACCCGGTGTTTTGTGTACTCACAACTGTAAACCTACTTTTGCCCCACCCCATATATAAAACATTCTAATATTAGGTCACTTAAATTTATTCCATAGCTCGTTGATGTTATGTTTATTTTTAATCTCTTTTGTCTTCTTGTTTCATTTTGGGTAGTTTTTATTGTCATGTCTTCAAGTTTACTGATCTTTTCTTCTGCATTGTCTAATCTGCCATTAAGTCCATACAGCATATTTTTCATCTCAATAATCATAATTTGTATTTTATTATTTGGTCTTTTCATCTTTTAGTCTTTTCATATCTTCCTTATCTCTACTTAATATGGTCAATCTTTAATCTCACTTTTGAACATAAGGAATTCAATTATAATAACTATTTTAATATTTTTGTTAATTCTAATATTTGTACCACATCAGGTTTGGTTCTGACTCATTGACTTTCTTTTCCTATTTATTGTGGGTAGTATTCTCCTGTTTATTCCATGCCTGGCAAATTTCTGTTTGATGCTAGACACTGTAAATTTTACTTTGCTTCGTGCTAGATAAATTTGTATTCTGATATTCTTAAGCTTTGTTCTGGTAGACAATTACTTGGAAACAGTCTCATCTTTCTGGGTCTTGCTCTTAAGAATTAAGTGTGAGCAAATTAATGTTTGATGTAGTGCTAATTACTTCCTACTGCTGAGACCCTTCTGAGTACTGCACTAATTTCTCTGTGAAATGAAGTTCTTTAGCCTGGCTTTGGGGAAAGGAAATATGCATAGCTCTGTATGAACTCCATACAGTCATGCCTCTAATCCTTTCAGGTGGCTCTTTTCCAGGCCTTAGATGTTTCCCTTACATGCATGTGCTGATCATTCTTCTACTGAATGAGCTGAGAGGGTTCTTCTGAAGATCTTTATTAACTTTCTTTCTGTGCCACCCTCCTCTCTGCTACCATCTTGTCACTAGCCACACTACTCTCTGAATATGAAAAAACAAATATTAAAATCAAGAATTTTAATCAATTAAAATCAATTCCATCTCCTCAGGGAGTCTATCAGACTTTGCCTGGGTATTCCTTCTGTGCCATGACTTGGAAGCATTTGCAAAATTCACCTTCTTTGATTTTTGTCTTTCAGGGGTCTTTGTCACTTTATAATGTCCAGTGTCTTGAAAACCGTTTTTATCTAGTCTCTATTATGCCATATGTAATTTTTCAACAATTTTATCTGCCATATACCAAATTACTCCCATCTTTTTTAAAAAACTTTTGCTAACATGATACATAATAACAATATAATAGCTAAATGATCTAACCATTTCTACATCAAAGCACTATACTAACATTTTCTATGAGTTTCTCGTTTCATCTTTACAGTCATCCTATGAGCGAAGAACTATTATTACTCTCATTCACTACAACTACATGTAACCCAGAAATATTCTTTAAATGAATATTTTTCTATCGTTTTTCTTTAAAAGCCAAAGAGATATTAAAGCAACTCAGAAAAGGCACTTTGCAGGTAGACAAGATAATACATGTGTATTTTTAAAATAATCATCTTTCATAAACCTTCGAAATATTTCTTGCGGATCTTACTCGAGTTTAGTGAACTTTACTCAACTCAGAATTTGTACAAATTACAAACATCCATTAAAGCAAAGAGCTAAATTGCTTCAATATAAGTATAGATAATGCATAATGTTTCTTTAGCTTATTTTTGCCAGACAAATGTCACATAAAAGCCAGGTATGTATATCTTAAAAAATAGAAACTTTACTAGATAAATTATATTTTTCAGCAAACATTTGGGAAGTTATCACGTGGAGAAATGTCCAAAGTTATTTTGTGTAGATCCAAGGAACAATATAAGAACCATCGGGGAGACTATAGGGAGGGTGATTTCATTGCAATATGAGAGAGAAAATGCTTAACATACTCCAACTGATAAATGGAGCTGGGTTCCTTTAAAACAGCGGTTCTCAACCTGTGGGTTGCGACCCCTTTGGGGGTCGAATGACCCTTTCACAGGGGTCACCTAAGACCACCGGAAAACACATATATAATTACATACTGTTTTTGTGAGTAATCACTATGCTTTAATTATGTTCAATTTGTAACAATGAAAATACATCCTGCATATCAGATATTTACATTACGATTCATAACAGTAGCAAAATTACAGTTATGAAGTAGCAACGAAAATAATTTTATGGTTGGGGGTCACCACAACATGAGGAACTGTATTAAAGGGTCGCGGCATTAGGAAGGTTGAGAACCACTGCTCTAAAAGTTCACTTGGTTCTCTAGCACTGAAAGCACTGGAGCAGAGAATGAAGAGCTGTATGTCACAGGTGTTCCAATTGTGCTCTGGACAGTATATTAGTTTCCTAGGGCTGAGATAACAACATAGAACAAATAAATTGGTTTGAACAACAGAAATGTACTGTTTCACAGTCTGGAGGCTAGAAGTCCAAAGGTGTCAGCAGGCCACGTTCCCTCTGAAAACTGTAGGGTGAATCCCTCCTTGCCCTGTCCAAGCGTCTGGTGGTGTGCTGGCGATCCTTGGCAGCTATAGCACTTCAATCTCTGCTTCTGTCATCACAGGACATTCTTCCCGTGTTCCTGTCTCCCCCGCCCATGTATCTATCTGTCTGTGTCTGTTCTCCTCTTCGTATAAGGACACCATACTTCAGTGTGGCCTCATCTTAACTGTCTGTAAAGACCCTATTTCCAAAATAAGGTCACATTCTGAGGTAATGGGAGTTAGAACTTCAAGATATCTTTTGGGAGGACAACTCATACCAGATATGAAAGGAACTAGGTAATTATCAACTCTAAAAAGCTGAGACTCCAGGTACATATAAAACAAGAAGTTCAACATTACATATGAACAGAACAATTCTGAAACATTCATTTATTGTTTATGTAGGTGATTCATTAAACAAGTATTTTCTAGGCACTGCCTTGAGCACTGGAAACACCATGAAAAGGTTCCTGCCCTCATGAAATCTGTATTCAAACAGAATAAAATGACCACAGTATGTGTACCTACTGTGTAGTAATGAGACATAAGTAATCTCACTAATCCTCACAACAATCCCTGTTAGGTAACAACTTTTATCCTCTTTAACACATGAGAAAACTAAGGCATAGGAACAAAGCTATTTGTTGAAGGTCATCATCTTCCTGGCAAACTGACCCTTTTTGTTATTAAAATGTTCTTTTTACCTTTAGTGATAATCTCTGTCTTGAAATCTATTTTATCTAGTATTAATATAGCTACTCCAGGCTTCTGAAGTTTACTGTTTGCATGTGCTTGGTAAAAAGAAGCATGAACAGGTGTTACTCTTAAGAAACAGAGTAATTTACACTTGCAATGCCTGAAGAATACTTTCAGTATCTTGAATTCCATGCTCACAGATTCCATTCAGATAGGCCTCTGATTTTTTTGCAACACAAGGCAAGCCACCAATTCTAATGGCTTAAATTACATTTTCCTCTGAGGTTTTTATTTTTATTTTTGTTTAAACATCCTAAATATGCCCAGGAATGAACCAGTAAGCACATTGAAGGTTTCATCCCAAGCTTAATGTGTACATATTGTTTTTACAGGATCTTTTAAAAAACTTTAAACAAAAACACTATTGTAACTAGCTTAGTTTCAGTTACAATACTTAAAAGAAAATCAGTAGTCGCCCAGGTATGGTGGCTCAGTGGTTGAGTGTCAACCTATGAACCAGGAGGTCACAGTTCAATTCCCAGCCAGGGCACATGCCCAGGTTTCAGGCTCGATCCCCAGTGGGGAGGGGGGTGCAGGAGGCAGCCAATCAATTATTCCCTCTCATCTTTGATGTTTCTATCTTTCTCTCCTTCTCCCTCTCCCTACATCTCTGAAATCAATGTTTTTAAAAAATTAGTAGCTTCGGCTTGTTTGATTACCGATCAGGGCACATGCCTGTGTTGTGGGCTTGATCCCAAGTAGGAGGTTTGCAGGAGGCAGCCAACCCAACCAACTGAACCACACAGGCCAGAGCAATAAAACCATTTTTTTTTTAAAAAAAGAAGAATTACTAAAACCTTTCTTTAAAAGAAATTTAATTCTGGATTTTTATCAATTCAAACTGGTCTTTTCCTAAATTATTTTGATAGTGAAATATTATTTAAATCAGAATAGGTAAGAGAATACAAATTTATATAAATAAGAGTTTCATGGCTAAACCCTACATGGTAGCAAAAATTTAGACTATAAGAAAGAAAATTAATTTATACCACCAAACTACTTCCACAAAACATCTGACAATTTTTGTATTAACTCAAATACATTTTGTTACCTGTAGCTTTATTTCTTCTAAGTCTTTAGTTTTCTCTAATAATTCCCCTCTTAGTTCTTCAAACAGTAGCTGGAATTTTTCCTGGTTAGTTTGCTTTTCATTTAACAGGCGTTTGAGTTCATTTTGTGACTTTGTGTACTCATCTTGCAACCTGATTTAAAAAAAAAAAATTCAATTTTAAGTGTATCCTTTGTTTTCTAACTGCATTACTTTTTTTATTATTAAATCTTTATTGTTCAGATTACTACAGTTGTTCCCCTTTTTTCCCGCATAGCTCCCCTCCACCCGGTTCCCACCCCACCCTGTGCCCTTACCCTCCCCCCACTTTCCTCATCCATAGGTGTACGATTTTTGTTCAGTGTCTTCCCGCACCCCCACACACCTTTACCCCTCGAGAAGTCAGTCCATTCCCTTTCTATGCCCCTGATTCTATTACATTCACCAGTTTATTCTGTTCATCAGATTATTTATTCACTTGGTTTTTAGATTCACTTGTTGAGAGATGTGTATTTGTTGTTCATCATTTGTATCTTTACCTTTTTCATCTTCTTCCTCTTCTTAAAGGATATCTTCCAGCATTTCATATAATACTGGTTTGGTGGTGATGAACTCCTTTAGCTTTTTCTTGTCTGTGAAGCTCTTTATCTGACCTTCAATTCTGAATGATAACTTTGCTGAATGATAACTTTGCTGCATAAAGTAATCTTGGTTGTAGGTTCTTGCTATTCATCACTTTGAACATTTCTTGACACTCCCTTCTGGCCTGCATAGTTTCTGTTGAGAAATCAGGTGACAGTCATATGGGTACTCCCTTGTAGGTAACTGACTGTCTTTCTTTCTCTTGCTGCCTTTAAGATTCTCTCTGTGTCTTTTGCTCTTGGCATTTTAATTATGATGTGTCTTGGTGTGGTCCTCTTTGGATTCCTTTTGTTTGGGGTTCTCTGAGCTTCCTGGACTTGTAAGTCAATTTCTTTCACCATGTAGGGGAAGGTTTCTGTCATTATTTCTTCAAATAGGTTTTCAATATCTTGCTCTCTCTCTTCTTCTGGCACCCCTATAATTCGATGTTGGTTCGCTTGAAGTTGTCCCAGAGGCTCCTTACACTATCTTCATATTTTTGGATTCTTTTTTCTTTTTGTTTTTCCGGTTAGGTGTTTTTTGTTTCTTCGTATTTCAAATCTTTGACTTGATTCTTGTGATCCTCTAGTCCACTGATGGTGAACCTATGACACGCGTGTCAGAGATGACACGCGAACTCATTTTTTTTAATTTTTCTTTGTTAAATGGCATTTAAATATATAAAATAAATATCAAAAATATAAATCTTTCCTTAACTAATAATAAAAAAAATATATATATAAATCTTTGTTTTACTATGGTTGCAAATATCAAAACATTTTTATATGTGGCATGGCACCAGAGTTAAGCTAGGGTTTTTCAAAATGCTGACACGCCGAGCTCAAAAGGTTCACCATCACTGCTCTACTCTGCTGTTGGAACTCTGTATAATATTCTTTATTTCAGTCAGTATATGCTTAATTTCTAGTTGGTCCTTTTTCATATCTGTTGAGGGTCTCACTAGATTTCTTGAGGGTCTCACTAAATTTATCAACAGTTTCTAGAAAATTCTTGAAAAACCTTATAAGTGTGGTTTTAAATTCTATATCCTGTAGTTTGCTTTCCTCCATTTCTGTCATTTGTGACCTGTTTCTATGTCTCCACATTTTTTATGCTTCCCTGTGTTGATAGAGTGGCTTTCTGTGCTAGGTGTCCTATAGGGCCCAGTGGCTCAGCCTCCCCAATTACCTGAGGTGAACACTCTTGGTGCACCCCTTTGTGGGCTTTGTGCACAGTCTTGTTGTAGTTAAGTCTTGATAGTTGTAGGTATCACTGGGAGGAATTAATCTCCAGGCCAATTGGCTGTGAGAATCAGCTGTGTCTGCAGTGGGAGAACTTCTGAGCTGGAGATACCCTTCTGGGGCAAGACTTGCTTCAGTGGGGCTTTGGTGCTCACTGAGTCTGCCCCCTGAGTGTGTCCCGTATGGATCTGAGGAGTTGCAATCTGGATGGTCCCACACTGACCACTGGGTACACTGGCTCGTGGATTTCTAAGGAGGTGCTAATTTAGCCTCTGCCTGAGGCTACCCAGCAGGAGCTATGGAGAGATCTGCAGATTCCTCTTCTTTGTTTGGGGTTTGGAGGTGCCCAGATGAGGTCCAGCTGTGAAGCAATGCAAGCTGCTGTGGGGCCTTGGGCCTTCTTTTGTAAGTTCTGGGTTTCTCTGACCCAGTTGGAGATTGTTAGGCAATTTTCAGATTGCAAAGGGCCAGGGCATTCATATGCCAAAGCCTCTGCGCACAGCTTGGGTGGGGCGGGTTCTCAGGGGATCAACAGGGCAGAGCAAGTAGCTATGGCTGCTCCTCAGTCCTGCCCTAAAAGGCCCCGTGTCTCAGTGACCCGGTAATGGCTGCAAGCACCTCTGAGAGATAGCTGCCCTTGAGTTCTGACCAATGCCAGACAGTCCAGTTTCTCCCGGTATGAGTCTGGGTCCCCAGAGACTCGTCAGGAACTGGAGTCCAGAGCAGTCGGGAGCTTGTGACTCCCTCCTGATTGAAAAAGACAACCATGTCCTCAGTTGCCAGCACTTTCCACGTGCACCTCCGTACCTCTGCACTTTACTTCCGCACCTCCTCTGAGTCTCAGTGTGCTTTTCTCTAACCTTCTAGTTGTAAAATTTCCACTCACCCAGCCTTCCTGTGGTTCTGGATGATGTCCGCTTTGTCTTTTAGTTGTATTTTTGAGGTGGCTGTGCGAGGCAGCAATTTCCGGTGTTTACCTATGCCACCATCTTGGTTGTTCTCTAACTGCATTACTTTTTATGTCAAATCAATCAAAACTACAGAAGACCAATATCGTATATCCTATTAAAACTGTAGTATCTCCCTGGCTGGGTTGCTCCATGGTTACAGTATCAGCCTACAGAAAAGTGTCACAGGTTCAATTCCCAGTCAAGGGCACGTACCTGGGTTGCAGGCTCCATGCCTAGCCCTGGTCAGAGTGTGAATGGGGGGCAACCAGTTAATGTGTATCCCTCACATCGATGTTTCTCCCTCTCTCTCTACCCCCCATCCTCCCTCCCCTCCATTCTCTCTAAAAAAAAAATCAGGAGAAAAAATTATCCTCAGGTGAGGATTTAAAAAAACAATACTACAAATATCGTTTTCTTTATAGAGTTTCATTTAATTATTAATGCAGTAGTTTCTGAAAGCAATTTTACTTTGAGGGGGAAAAAACAATTTAGCCACACAGATACATTTAATTATATATGTCTTAGCTACTTTCAAAACAAGACTTTTACAAATTCATAACACAACTTGATACCATACTTAGTTTTGCATAAAGAAATTTTAAAGCAAAAATTTTACTGTATTGAAGTTTTAAGTGCATATACTGTAAAAAGCTAAAATTATACTGTATGTTCCAGAGCAAACATTCAAAAAATATTTTTTTTTCAATGCAAGGCCCTCATCTCCAAATTGAAGTATTTTACCTGTTGTGTTCAGTTTTCAGAGTCTGATAATTACTTTTATGTTGTTCACATCGTACTCTTTCTTCAATTAACATATTTTGTAATGCACGGTCAGAATCTGTCAGCCCACTGTCTCCACCAGGAGGACAAATGGTGGGAAGAGTGTTCATATTGGTAGGTAAGCTGACAACCATGTAAAAATAAGTACTGGCTTCCTTATTGTCTTCGTGTTTTTTTTTTTCAAGATTATTTTACACTTCCTTCTTGCAAAGACAGAATCTTGGGAGGCCAAATTATACCTACACAGAGAAATAAACTTAATTAATAATCAGTGAACTCATTCAGTGTTATATTTTTTATCACATTCTTCTTCTTATCATTTCTATAATAAACCTGACTTTCAGATTTTCAACTGTTCAAAAATAAACTTGAATAATATCTTAACAAATTTTCTTCACATCCACCCAAGTTTCTGTGACCATTAAGGTCACAGCTTCAAGTATTAACATAACTAGAAGTACTGACCTTTCCAATTTAGGTATACTTCTGGAGTCAGATGTTTCCTAAAGTTACTGTCTTAAACTTCAAGGGTGGATCCTGAAGCAAAATCCATACCCTAACCTAAAATCAGGGGAAACACCACTTGAAACTTGTTAAGTAGCTGGGGAGAATCACAGTCTTCAAAAAGATGGCCTTCAGTACATTACTGTTAGTGTGTTTAATGCTGCAAAGAGTCTTTTGACACAAGGTGAGCTGCAGATTCAGATGCAGAATCAGTCAACACATAAACAGTGATCACCACCTACAAGTTACGCACAGTGCTAAGAAAAGGAATATAAATCACCTCAGTAATCCCCAAAAGCACTGACTCAGGATTATGAAACAACTAAATGTCTGTTTTATGGGAAAGTAAAAAATAATGACAGTGTATTCTTCCTATAAATAATTAAAATAAATATTTTAATCAAAATAATTCGGTCCCTTTAAAATTTATTAATCTTTCACAAACCTAATATGCTAAGTGTCCGACCATTCATTTGACTGTTCGACCAGTCCTATGATACGAACTGACCACCAGGGGGCAGATGCTCCAATCATTAGGTTAGTTTGCTGCTGGGGTCTGGCCAACTGGAACTGGGCGAGATGGGCTGGACATATCCTGGAGCCAATTTCCAGTGGTCCCTCCCCACCTCAAAATATTTATTCTAATTAATATCCTTTCAATGTGCACGAATTCGTGCACCCGGCTTCTAGTTATTTATATAAATACTAGAGGCCCGGTGCACAAAAATTTGTGCACTCGAGGGGGAGGAGAGGTCCCTCAGCCTGGCCTGTGCCTTGTCGCAGTCTGGGACCCCTCAGGAGATAACGACCTGCTGGCTTAGGCCTGCTCCCGGGTGGCAGAGGGCAGTCCCAATCCCTAAGTGCAGCCCCTGGTCGGGCTCAGAGCAGGGCTGATTGGGGAGTTGGGGCGCCGCCCCCTGTCATGCACAGAGCAGGGCGGATCGGGAGGTTGCGATGCCACGCTCACTCACGCTCACGGTAGGGCCGATTGGGGGGTTAGGGCACCGCCCCCAGTCACACTCAAGGCAGGGTCGATGGGGAGGTTGCGGCGCCACCCCGTCACGCACAGAGCAGGGCCGATCAGGGGGCTGAGGAGCTCCCCCCGTCACTCACAGAGTAGGGCTGATAGGGTAGTTGGGGCACCGCCCCCTGACACACAAAGAGCAGGGCGGATCAGGGGGTTGGGACGCCGCACCCTGTCACACTCAGGGCAGGGCAGATGGGGAGGTTATGGCTCTACCCCGTCACACACAGAGCAGGGCCCGTGGGGGGCGGTTGGGGCGCCGCCCTCTAACACCCACAGAGCAGGGCCAATCAGGGGGTTGGGGTGCCGCCACTCTCACACTCAGGGCAGGGCCAATGGGGAGGTTATGGCTCTACCACGTAACACACAAAGCAGAGCCCATGGGGGGGGGGGGGGTTGGGGGCGCCGCACCCTGTCACACACAGAGCAGGGCTGATCAGGGGGTTGGGGCGCCGCACCCTGTCACACACAGAGCCGCAGGGCGATCAGGGGGTTGGGGAGCTCCCTCCTATCAGGAACAGAGAAGGGCTGATCAGGGGGTTGGGGCACCTTCCCCTGTCATGAACAGAGCAGGGCGGATAGGGAGGTTGTGGCCCCGCCCCCTGTCACACACAGAGCTGCAGGGCGATCAGGGGGTTTGGGCACTGCCCCCTGTCACACTGATCCCGGTGCCAGGAGGCCTTGCGGCTCCGCTGATCCCGGTGCTGGGAGGCATATTACCCTTTTACTATATAGGATAGAGGCCTGGTGCACGGGTGGGGGCCGGCTGGTTTGCCCTGAAGGGTGTCCTGGATCAGGGTGGGGGTTCCACTTGGGTGCCTGGCCAGCCTGGGTGAGGGGCTGATGGCTGTTTGCAGCTGGTCAAACACCCTTCAGAGTGGGGGTCCCCACTGGGGTGCCTGGCCAGTCTGGCTGAGGGGCTGAGGACTTTTTTCAGGCTGGTGGGTGACTGAAGCTCCCAACCGCTCCTTTTTTTCTTTTCCTTTTTATTCTGGGCCACCTTTAGCTCTGAGGCTTGGCTCTAGCTCTTAGGCCTCGGCTGGTGAAAGCAGGTATCTGGTTTGTTTGGGTTCTATAATTGTAACACTGTTGCGGTCCTGCTCACTCCAGCTTTGAGATCCCAGCTGGCTGAAAGCAGGGATCTGTGTTTGTTCTATAATTGAAACAATGTTGCGGTCCTGCTGGCTGAAGCCTGGCTCACTGAAAGCAGGTTTCCGGGGTTTTGTTTAGCTTCTATATTTGTAACAATGTTTCAAACTGCAAGCTCAGAGGACAGCAAGGCAGGCAGGGAACATTGGAGTCCTCCGTCACTGAAGCAAACAAGCCTCATGTTCGCTTCAAGCTGCCTGGCTACCGGCCGCCATCTTGGCTGGCAGTTAATTTGCATATCTCCCTGATTAGCCAATGGGAAGGGTAGCGGAGGTACGGCTAATTACCATGTTTCTCTTTTATTAGATAGGATATCCTAACAGCACCTCCCACAGTGGGGTTTTTTCAAAATTGAAGGGAAAATCAGGAACTTCACAGACAAAAAAAAAGGCTAAGGGTGTTTATCACCACCAAGCCAGCAATGCAAGAAATGCTAAGGGGACTACTGTAAAAAGGAAAAAGAAACACAGGCACAAAAAATAAAAATGGCTAAAAACAAGTAGCTATCAATAATAACCTTAAACGTCATGGCCCTAATGCTCCAATCAAAAGGCATGTAGTGGCTGAATGGATAAGAAAACATGACCCATATATATGCTGTCTATAAGAGACCCACCACAGAACAAGACACTCACACAGACTGAAAGTGGAGAAATGGAAAAATATCTTTCAGGCAAATGGAAACGAAAAAAAAGCTGTGGTAACAATCCTATCTAATAAAAGACAAATAGGCTAATTAACCGTACCTCCGACACGCTTCCCATTGGCTAATCAGGGGGATATGCAAATTAACTGCCAACCAAAATGGCAGCCAGCAGCCACACAGCTGAAGCGAACAGGAGGCTTCCTTGCTCCAGTGATGAAGGAAGCCAAGGTTTCCCGCCTGCGCGGCGGGGCTCTGAGCTGCACTTTAAGCAACAATGTTGCAATTATAGAAGCTAAACAAACCTCAGCTACCTGCTTTCACCAGCGGAGGCCTCAGAGCTGGAGCTCTCAGCTCCAATGTCAGCTATAGAAGGTAAATAAATCCCAGAATAAAAAAATAAAAGAAAAAAAGGAGAGATTGGGAGGTTCCGTCACACGCCAGCCTGAAAACGGCCCTCATCCCCTCACCCAGGCTAGCCAGGCACCCCAGTGGGGACCCCCACCCTAAAGGGGGTGTGATCAGCTGAAAACAGCCATCAGCCCCTCACCCAGGCTGGCCAGACACCCAAACAGGACCCCCACCCTGATCCGGGACACCCTTCAGGGCAAACCAGCCGGACCCCACCCGTACACCAGGCCTCTATCCTATATAGTAAAAGGGTAACATGCAAACTGACCCTAACAGCAGAAAGACTGGGAATGACTGGTCACTATGATACACACTGACCACCAGGGGGCAGATGCTCAATGCAAGAAGCTGCCCTCTGATGGTCAGGGCGCTCTCACATGGGGAGCTCTGCTCAGCCACAAGCCAGGCTGACGGCTGCCAGTACAGCAGTGGTGGTGGGAGCCTTTCCTGCCTCCTCAGCAGTGGTAAGGATGTCCACCTGCAGTTTAGACCTGCTCCCCGCTGGCAAGTGGACATCCCCCAAGGGCTGCCGGGCTGCCAGAGGGATGTCTGATTGCCATCTTAGGCCCAATCCCCCGGGGAGCAGGCCTAAGCCAGCAAGTGGTCACCCCCGAGGGGTCCCAGCCTGCGAGAGGACACAGGCCAGGCTGAGGGACAACCCCCCCCTCAGAGTACACAAATTTTTGTGCACCGGGCCTACAGTAGTGATATATGACAAAATAGAGTGAAGGCCATAACAAGAGAAAAGAAAGGCCACTTCTTAATACTAAAGGGATCTAAACAACATAATATAATTCTGGTAAACATATATGCACCCAATACAAGAGCACCCAAATAAATAAAAAAAACGTCTGGAAGATATCAAGGCAGAGATCGGCAGCAATACGATCATAGTAGCGGACTTTATTTTTTATTTTTTAAAACAAATTATTATTGTTCAGATTACTACAGTTGTTCCTCTTTTTCCCCCCTCATAGCTCCCCTCCACCTGGTTCCCACCCCACCCCCTGCCCTTACCCCCACCACTGTCCTCATCCATAGGTGTAAGATTTTTGTCCAATCTCTTCCAGCACCCCCCACACCCCTTTCCCTCCGAGAATTGTCAGTCCACTCCCTTTCTATGCCCGATTCTATTATATTCACCAGTTTATTGACTTAATTTTTAGATACACTTGTTGATGGATATCTATTTGTTGTCACTTTGCTGTTCATAATTTTTATCTTTACCTTTTCATGCTTCTTCCTCTTCTTAAAGAATATCCTTCAGCATTTCATATAATCCTGGTTTAGTGGTGGTGAACTCCTTTAGCTTTTTCTTATCTGTGAAGCTCTTTATCTGACCATCAATTCTACAGTATAGCTTTGCTGGGTAGAGTAATCTTGGTTGTAGGTTCTTGCTATTCATCACTTTGAAGATTTCTTGCCACTCCCTTCTGGCCTGCATGGTTTCTGTTGAGAAATCAGGTGAGAGTCGTATGGGTACTCCCTTGTAGGTAACTAACTGTTTT